TCCACAAGACCAAGGCGCACAAGAACTCCGCCGGTACGGTCACCTTTGACGACTCCTTCCGCGTGCCCAACACCACCGCCGACGCCCAGTACCAGGTTCGTGTCGTCAACCACGCCACCTTTGGCTCGGACGCTACCCTCGGCGAAGCGCCCTTCTTCGTTGATGATCAGGGTTCCGTCGCCGGCCAGGATAAGGCTGTTACTGTTGGCGATGGTGTCGTTACCATCCGCTCTAGCTTTGCGCTCTCAGATGGCGGGTTGAGACCTACTACGTCACACTCGACCGCTGGCACCCCCGAACCCACTGATGGTCCGGGTAGTCCTGATTCGAGAAAGATGCCCCGTCGCAGCTTCTTGAGTAAGAGATCTGTTAGCGGTGTTTAGGTCACCCTCCCCCCATTATTATTATTATTATTATTATCCGCTTTGGAATTGCTTTGCCTGTTGAGGCTGAAGAGTATATGAAAATATGAATTGCTTTCGCTTGTTACTAATTTTGTTTTTTTTTTTTGTTTTTTTTGTGTTGTGTTGTGATATCCTTTTTTTCTCTCATTTTTTTTCCCGTATCAATATGAATTCAATTGTTGATATGGTGGACTTTTTGAGACATATCCCACGTAGCATGGAGATGACAGAATTAAAATAGCCGATTAAAAATAGTCGAGAGTCGAGAGTCGAGAATCAATAGTTCGCGCCACCCAAAAAGTCCGAAAACAAGGCTGAGTCTTAAGACCTCAGACCCAATGTCTCACTTTGGAATCTTAAAGGGGCTCCAACGAGGGTATACTGACATTTTATATGGAATTCTTGTCACATTCTCGTGGCTTCTTTAACTTCTTTATATTAAAAAAATAAAATTGGAGTATCTTTTTGTTCCCGAAACTTGGTTTGCACAGCCCTGAGTGATCTGCGGTTTGATGTTTGGGCCTCTTAGAGTGTTTAGTACGTACCCCGTGAGTACGTGGTAGTGAATGTGTGGATATATGACAGATGACAGCGGGATAGGGAGTTATAGAGATGGCTACAACAGTATTCAGTTGGAGATTATTTTTAGATCCCTTCAGCGGTACGGAATATATTAGCCTCATTTATTTAGGGAAGAGGCGTGGTGGAGTCGATAATTTGCTTGTCCCACTGGTGCCACTGGGACCGGAGTTTTGTTTAAGGAAATCCAGGATTGAATTGGTCTCGAAGAATTAGAAGGGAAGATAATTATTTGCAGTATATGTGCTTGTAGTGATATTAGGGGAATACTAGTGAGAAAATTCTACTTGCATTCTGGGCTTTCCAATGTGTCTAGACAGGTCCTCACGTAGATCTTAATGAACAGTACGGAGTACTTCGTGGTACAGACTTAGCTATATTGCATAATAGACAGGCCAGCTGAACATGTGCATCTTCACGTCTTGAAATAGCACAGCGTTTAATAATATTATTAGGAACGAAGTTCGAAACCATTGAAACCGAGACTGAAACAAGGCGAAAAGGAGGATGAGAGCTTGTGTTTGGTGGGGGTCTAATCCTATAGGGACTAGTTCTTTTTTTAAGGTGGAGAAGGAAAAGGGGTCTGGATTGACAGTGGACTGGACTTGTGTACTCCGGGCTTAGGGGTCTTAGGGGTATGGTTGATGGTCAAGATGGTCAAGATGGTAATTCAGTATAACGTATAACTATTATCGGGTTAATCACCTTGGGTATTGTAGGTGTTAGTTCCCGAGCTCCAGCCCGTGGGCATGTCAGTGGCTGGTAACTGATGACATTGGGATGCAAGGAGGACTGAGCGAGATAAGAGAATGGGAATGGTAATTGGAATAGCAGCATAGAAGTAGAATACGAGAATGTAGATTAGGATATTATCCATGGATATATGAATATATGAATATTAACTATATCAAGTACTAAAAGTACTAAAGTGCCTAAATACCTAAATACCTAAATAACCTAAATAGGTCTCAAATAACAAATAATATAAAATCACGGGTTCTCCCCCACTCTCCCTTTTTCCCTTTCCCTTTCTTTTTATAACTGGAACTTCCTCTCCTCTTCCCTCTTTACATCTCCCTTAGGAATTGATCTGTGAGTTGTACCCTATGACGGCAGCTTGACATCCCAATGGATCGACAAGTGGCAATAATGAACCCCTCCTTTCTTTGGTACCTTGGTCATTCTGGACAGCTCTGAGCTGTTTAAATGGAGCCACGTTTCCTCCCTTTTCTGCCCTGGAATCTGCCACTGACTATCATATTCCCTTCTAATAGCCAGTTCCCTTCGAATCCATACCCCATATCCTATAATCTATAACTCATAATGGGCTCCAAGGCTCTTCCCACTCACCTTCGGGCCCCCGAGAGCGAGGCCTTTGGTGGAAAGCACCATGGCAAGACTCAGTCGCACATGGTAAGTTCACTTCGGGCGGTGGATCCCTGAATCCTCGAATCTTGAAGCTTCGTTCTTGCCATTTGGGCCGTTCCTACTCTTTTGGGGTTTTGTTGTTTCCTGGACGCGTCAGACGAGAGAGAGAACTTGTTCCTCTTTTTCTTCCCTTCACCATCACGCTATTTACCCTGCTCTATTTGTCCAATCATCCAATCTGCTTGTATTCACCCCCCCTACAATTGTGTCTACCCCTCTCCTGACAATGGCTACCTTGGCCCCCCCATTTGGTCCAGAGCTGACCCGTGAAACCTCCAACCAGGCATTCGAGAATGCCTCCACTAGTGTCGCCGCTTCACAAATGCGCAATGCCCTCAACGCCCTCGGCGACAGCGTCACCGACCCTAACGAGAAGAAGCGCTTCGAGGCTGAGATGGACAACTTTTTCGCCCTGTTCCGCCGTTTCCTGAACGACAAGGCCAAGGGCAACTCCGTCAACTGGGACAAGATCGCCCCTCCCCAGCCTTCCCAGGTTGTTGGCTACGATGACATCGGTGCCGACGCCTCCGTCGAGTTCCTGAACAAGCTCGCCGTTGTCAAGCTGAACGGTGGTCTTGGTACCTCCATGGGTTGCGTTGGTCCCAAGTCGGTCATTGAGGTCCGTGAGGGCATGTCCTTCCTCGATCTCTCCGTGCGCCAGATCGAGCACTTGAACCGTAGCTTCAACGTCAACGTGCCTTTCGTCCTCATGAACTCCTTCAACACCGACCAGGACACCCAATCCATTATCAAGAAGTACGAGGGCCACAACGTCGACATCATTACCTTCAATCAGTCGCGCTACCCCCGTATCATCAAGGACTCCCTCCTGCCCGCCCCCAAGAGCTTCGACTCTCCCCTCCAGGACTGGTACCCTCCCGGACACGGTGACGTTTTCGAGTCCCTGTACAACTCTGGCACTCTCGACAAGCTGATCGAGCGTGGCATCGAATACATCTTCCTGTCCAACGCCGACAACCTCGGTGCCGTGGTTGATCTCCGCATCCTGCAGCACATGGTTGACTCCCAGGCCGAGTACATCATGGAGTTGACTGACAAGACCAAGGCTGACGTCAAGGGTGGTACCATTATTGATTCCGACGGCAAGGTCCGCCTGCTCGAGATCGCCCAGGTGCCCAAGGAGCACGTCAACGAGTTCAAGTCGATCAAGAAGTTCAAGTACTTCAACACAAACAACATCTGGCTCAACGTCCAGGCTATCAAGCGTGTCGTTGAGGAGAACGAGTTGGAGATGGAGATCATCCCTAACGAGAAGTCCATTCCCGCCGATAAGAAGGGTGAGGCCGATCAGGCTATCTACCAGCTGGAGACCGCCGTCGGTGCGGCCATCCGCCACTTCAAGAACGCCCACGGTGTCAACGTGCCCCGTCGCCGCTTCTTGCCCGTCAAGACCTGCTCCGATCTGATGGTCGTCAAGTCTGACCTGTACCGTCTTGAGCACGGCCAGCTGGTTATGGACCCCAACCGCTTCGGTGGTGTCCCCGTCATCAAGCTCGGTTCCGACTTCAAGAAGGTCTCCGACTTCCAGAAGCGCATTACCAGTATTCCTCGCATCGTCGAGCTGGACCACCTTACTATCACTGGACCTGTTAACCTCGGCCGCAACGTCACCCTTAAGGGAACTGTTATCATTGTCGCCTCCGAGGGTAGCACCATTGACATTCCCCCTGGATCCGTGCTTGAGAACTGTGTTGTGCAGGGTAGCCTGAGAATCCTCGAGCACTAGATGTTTTCTGATTCTTCTGTCTTGGATCACAGATCCGCAGTGTTTGACTTTTTTTTTTTCTCGTTTCAACTGGTACATCCGAGGCTATGGATCCATGGAGTATGCAAAAGAAGTACTTGTATTACATTACAATAATCCAGCGTCTTTTTTCTTTCTTTCTTAATGGGTTTTTAGTCTAGACCTGACTTTGATTCCCAAGTACTACGATGTTGCTCACCATTCTCAATGCATTACCAGTTCACTCGTTCAATATATTAAGACAATTGTGTATGTATATAGTGTAGTTGTATGGCCATTCATGTAAGTCTCCGTTCTTCCGCCACCAACTCGATATATCCCCAAGAACTCCCCGAACGCCTCACATAGCCTCGATAATATCAAATCCAAGCTTCAACTCCCAGCAACTAACCTCAATCACAAACTACGCCATTACCTTCAGGCAAAATAAACTCCTATAATAATAGGCGGGGAAAAGTTCCCCATGATATCTTCGCAACGTCATTCGCGGCAAAACAAGCCCATTTCGCCTACTAAACCCTGTCCAAGCAGAACATCTCAAGTATACCGTCCTACAATCATTCGAAACAGGATATACAATTGCACAGCATGCATTTCTGATCTTGTACATTCTCAACTTTGTTTTTCATTGTATATTGTCAACAGTACATATTCGACTGTATATCTCATCTTTTTTTACATATTCATTTTTTGCACACGTTTCTTCATATATTTATATTTGAACCGCTCTTGTCTATATATTTCAAACACATATTTTACATTCTACATTCAGGAGAAAACAGAAAAACCAAAGTATACCCAAATCCAGTCGCCCATATCGGAATATGAGTGGGCGTCAACGCCGTCTTATACCAGGTCCCTCACCTTTAGAGGATGACCAACACGAAAACTACCATGAACATGATCTTGAAAATGGTAGTCCACCCGCTGAGGAAGGGAAGGGCTCTGGTACGTGGAAGAAGAGGGTTTCGACTGCTTGTTTGGCTTGTAAGAAGTCGAAGAGGAAGGTGAGTCTTAATTATACTCCTACACCTACTACATCTATATCTATACCCACAACTTCTCTATCTCCACCATATCATACTAAAACCACTAACAAATCCAGTGCTCCGGCACATCCCCCTGCGCAAACTGCCAAACCTTCAAAAGAGTCTGTATCTTCGACGAATCCCTCGACCAACGCCGCCGCGTCGCCGCAAAAAGAACTGCAGACGAACTCTCCTACCACCGCGACCTCCTCTCAGACCTCTTCAAGCTCGTCCGTGAAGCAAACGAGTCAGACGCTCTGCACCTACTCACGATAATCCGACACAATGCCCCCGCTGACGAAATCCGCGCATACATAAATGAAACACTCGCTTCCCTCACATCCACACCGACATCGACAACGCATAAACAGGAAACTGTCGCGAAGCTAGAGGATATGCGCCAGCTCATCAATGTCGAGGGCACGGGTCCGACTTTCAGAAGAAAGGTTATGGATATACATTACCTTTGTGATTCGGCGCCCTGTGAGGTTCCTGCGAAGCCGTGGACGAGGGTTACCGCTGATGCGGATCTGGTGTCGCATCTTGTTTCGTTGTATTTTGCGTGGGATTGGCCGTTTACGGCGGTTTTGGATAAGGAGGTTTTTGTTAGGCATATGGCTAGGGGGAATCTTGGGTCGGAGTTTTGTAGCCCGTTTTTGGTTAATGCGGTGCTCAGTAATGCTTGTGTGGGTATTTTTCTTTTTCTTTTCTTTTTGTTCTTTTGGTTTGAGGTTGGTGTTGGCCTGGTTTGGTTTAGTGGCTGATTGATTTGTTTAGTACTTCTCTGAGTTCTCCGAGGCTTATGTTGTTCCTGGTGATATCTCTTCGAAAGGGTGTGATTTCCTTGCTGAAGCGGAGAGGTTAAGGGGTGAGGAAAGCTCGCAGCCTAGTTTGGCGGGTTTGCAGGGGACGTTGTTGATGTATGAGAGGTTTGTATAGACATCTTTGTCCTATGTCCTGGTGATAGGGGCTTTTCTGACATAGATAGATATGCAATGTCCCGCGAAAACGATCTGGGATATATCATGCTACACCACGCCATTCGAATGGGTGAGGCGTTGGGTTTGGTCGGCAGCACAGGACCCAGAATGGCGTCGGGAGAGTTATCCCAGGACATGGATATCTCATGCAAGCGCACAGCTTGGGGTCTATTCAATGTCGACACGTAAGTTAGCCCTGCTAACACACCATTCGAACTCACATTCACATTCAAATCTGCAGAATGGTCCATACATCCTTCCTCCGGCCAAGTCTCATAGACCACGTCAACATGGCCCGTCTTGATATCAACCAGTTCGAAGACCAAGCCCTCTGGCAGCCATACCCAACCCACCGAGACCCACTCCCGTCATTCTTCAGCCGGTACTTCGACGAAGCATGCAATCTGTCAACGATCGCGCGCGATATCTCGCGCAGCATGTTCGCAGACCACAGGAGTAACACTGCCCTTGGCCCCATCTACCGCCAGAGCCGCGAGGATCTATACGACCGTATACGTCGCTGGCACGAGCTTCTCCCGGAGGACTTTGATGTGCGGTACAGACCAGCTCCGCATATCATTTTACTGAAGTGAGTAGCATGGGCATAAAAGTCCTGGGAAACCAAATGCAAAATACTCATCCCAAATAGAATGCGCTACAACGCCCTCATCATAAACCTCTTCAGCTGCATCTCCGAAGACGAAGTCCCACCCATCCCCTTCGAGCCCAAAACACCCGAAAGCCCACCGCGCCACACCCCCGAAACAAAATACAACGCGCAGGAAGTAACGCAGAGCGCGGCGCACGGCATCGCATCCCTAACACGTCTACACAGACGCGAGTTCGGTGTTAGTCGCGCGCATCAGTTCGCGATGTATGCGATCAACCTTGCGCTGTTTACGATGCTCGAGCACGACTCGTTCGATGTGTTAGATGAGGATTTCCTCACTCTTGCGAGTGCGTTCTGTGTTGTTGCGAGTCGATCTACGCTGGGACGGAATCTGTTTCATATTTTCCGGCAGTCGGTGAGGGCCAAGGCGCAGGGGTATCGGATTCGGGGGGCGAGTGCTGTGCCTGATGAATTGAAGGATTTGGTTGATGAGGGGTGTAGTCGGTTTGACGAGTATGCTGATGGACTTGAGAAGCTGAATCGGAAGGATAAGTATCATGGGATTGGGGAGGGGGATGGGAAGGGTTTGCAGGATTATCCTGGACTTGGACTTTCGGATATGTTGGATCGGTATGAGAGTCTTAGTCTTGGGAAGGATGATGTTTTGGTGGAGAGGTATCGACCTGCTGGATGTTGAAGGGCAATGGGAAATGGGAAATGAGAAATGATGGAGACAATATGCAGTGTACCGTCATCGTCATCGTCGTCATCTTCCATCTCCGTCATATGTCTCGAGGTACATTTCGCCTTAATGGAGTGGCGACTTTTGTATGGATCTGCTCCCTACATATAGATCGTCCAGAGGTGTTCAAGGTGATATCTTAGTGACACAAGGAGAATTCTTTCGAATGAGATAGTTACTGACAAGTCATTAGCAAGGATCGGTAACAAATTATAGGATATTTCTAGATGACTTGTAGTTGATATGTTTTATAGAAGGTGACTGTTGAGATGTTCTCTGACGTCAAATCCCAAGTTCATCGACACACCAAGTGATATCATCTCCACGTTGAGAGATTCTCTAGACCCTTGGGGATATTCGGGGATATTTCCAAAGTTGTTAAAACCAAAATATTCGAAGTAAATCTTCGACTGTTTTTCTTTTTAAAATATATTTTAGACATGGACTTGTCCCGCATTTTTTCAGTAACTTCCACTCCTCCAACCTCATTAAGATATATTCATGTCGATTATATTGAGTATATTGAGATCGATTAAATATGGATAATCTTGAGCAAGAGGACATTTTCGACGACTACGACTGGATGCGAATAAATGCAGGATCTGTACCTCAACAGCCATATCCCACGCCTGCCCCTGCCCCTGCCTTTTCACAGTATATGTCTGCCCCGTCGGCAGCTGGGTCAAGAAATATCGCGCCAAAGGTAGCCATCCCTCGCCTAGCTGGTTCCGACGCTTTGCTACACGGGCGCCGACGGTCAGCGCGGGCCTGCGAGCCCTGTCGCCAGCGCAAGACCAAATGTGACGGTATCCGACCGTCGTGCGGACAATGTGCATATCACAATCATGGCTGCTTCTACGAGGACGTGAAACGAGTGCGCGACCAGAAGCGACTCGGCTACTTGGTCAAGCGAGTGGATACATACGAAGCCCTTCTTCGAAAGCTAGAAGGCGAGGTGGACCCTCCCACAGCTCGAAAGATCAAAAAAGCATTGAAGGTAAGTCTACTCAATGTCAAATGAGCCTCGGGTCTCACCCAAGACTAGGATCTTATGATTTGGGTCCCGAGTTCAGACTCTGACTGTTCGTCATTTGGCAAATTCAGTCCAAAAATGGGAAATCCCCTAGAAATCCCAGAAACCGTGTCGACTCAGATGATTCCTCTGCATCCATGGGCTCACTCGATGCTATCAACCAGGTTGACAAAGACCTCAATCGGGATGAGAACACCAGGGCTGCGGGATCCTCTGGAAACAATTCAGAAGTCAATGGGATTCGCAAGCTGGAGAGCGGCGTGGGGTTGAAGAGTCCACAGGAACATGTGTCGAATCATTTCCACATGGAGAGTCACCGTGACTCAGCGTCTATTCAACAGCAGCAGCAGTCATTGGAAATGCAAATTACCACTTCCATGATGGAGTATCATTTTGACAGTCTGGATATTCCATTGATTGAACCATGCGATCCGTTAACTGTGCCCCCAAGGGAATTGGCAGATCGGTACTTCGACGCCTACCTGATCCACGTCCATTCGACATTCAGTGCAATTCGGAAGATGACCTTTATCTCCCAGTACCAGAAGTTCTTCAATAATGCATCGACACCACCACGGAAATGGCTGGCCATTCTGAATATGATATTTGCGATTGGGTGTCGCTATTGTCGACTCATAGACGACTCCCAAAGCACCAATGACGAAGACTTACTATACCTGACCCGGGCACGCCATCTCGGTCTACACAGCAATGTGCTATTCGAACACACTGATATGCAGCAGATCCAACTCGAACTCCTCGTAGCAGTTTACCTGCTTTGTTTAGGCCAGGTGAACCGGTAGTATCCTATTTCCCCATTCCTACAGCACCGTACTAACTCCCCCATCCTCAGAGCATCCAAATTCTCCAACATGGCACTCCACTCAGCTCTATCCCTCGGCATCAACCTCCGCCTAACAGACGACCGCACCAAAGATGCCGCCAAAGAAACCCGCGGCCGTCTCTGGTGGTCCATCTACTCCCTCGAGCACCTCATCACCTCAATGACCGGCCGCCCCTCCTGCGTCGGCGAAAGCCTCTGCTCTGTCCCCGCACCCCTTCCATACGAAGAAGAAACCTTCAACCAACCTGATGCCAAACGCCTCCTCCAAGATCCCGCCCTCCGCGAAGCCCAACTCCGCTCCACCATCTTCGAAGCCCCCAGCCAACACCACTCCCCCGCATGGGTAACCACCTGTCCACCTTGTCCATCCCTCTTCTTCTACTTCCTCGTCGACCTAACCCTAATAACCCACGCCTTCATGAACAAGGCACACAGCATCGAAGACCTTCGCAAAGGCTCCAGCCAAGTAGAATACCACGTCCAGAGATCCAGTCTCCAAATGGACCGCTGGCTCTCGAAACTTCCTTTATTCTACTACTTCACTCTCCCAAACACAACCTCCTGGCACATAAACCATCTCCAACTAGACAACCTCTCCGCTCCTTTCGTCCGCGAAAGAGTCTGTCTAGCAATGAACTATTACTCCGCCCGCATAACCCTCTGCAAACCATGTCTATGTCACATCCACCAATCCCCACGCTACACCACGCCAACCGGCAAACCAACAGCTCGGGGAAAACTCCGCTCCGAAATGGCTACACATTGCCTGCAAGCTTCCTGCGCGCTTATCTCCGTCCTCCCAGAAGACCCGAACATGACATTCCTAGCCCGTGCCACGCCCTGGTGGAGTATCCTGCATTTCCTCATGCAGGCGACTACCGCTTTATTACTGGGGTTATCGTATAGTTCGGGCCAACATACGTGCAACGGTCCGGAACGCGCGAATCCGCTCCTTTCGCCTGCTACGCCGTCCATTTCCCAGAAAGCGGGTGTTTACCCGCCGTTACTGGAGAAGCATTTGGGTATTGCTATTGCGGCGGCGAGGAAGGCGCTGTTTTGGCTTCATACTACTGCTTCTGTGGATCTGGCGGCGCGGAGGGCGTTTCTAGTTTGTGATGGGGTTGTTAGGAAGATTGCGCCTGGATTGGGGATTGATTTGAGTGAGTGGCCTAATGGGAGTTGTTTTGAGGGATTAGCAGAGGATAGGGAGAGGGGGCCTAGTGGAAATGGGAATTGGGGGGATAGTAGTGGGAGTAATGGTCATGATAGTGGGAGTGGGATGGAGGCGTTTGAGGAATTGGTTGATTTTGAAGGTGTTTTTTAGTTTATAGCTGTATATTGATGAGAATGTGACTGATGAAAAAGAATACTCACTTATATGTCCTGTGCAGGTCTTCAATAATCTGATCTATGTATTTGGCTTCAGATAATGTTAGGAATGTTGTTTGCGAGAACATACGTGTTTGTTTTGTTCTTTTGAGATTGCATACAAAGGCAGTGAACAGCATACACCGTGCGAATGGTTACATCTGGCCATTATACGTTTCGTTTTACCTTATGGTGTCCATTCTTCCTCATCCTTTCAACAAATACGGCGGTTTGGCAGAGTGGTCTAAGGCGATTGACTAGAACTTCCTTGGTACAATTCTTGAGATTCCTCTTGAAAACAAGACCTTCCTTTATCAATTCCGTTCGCGGGCGCATTCGAATCATGTAGCCGTCGTTAAAATTTTGCCAAGTAGAACCGGAGGCAAAAACTGCAGTTTTGCGGGTAGAGATGCTGCTTCTGCTTGGGGAGTGCATTTGTTAATTCCGGGAAGTCCTCATGCTCCCGTAGAGAGATTCACGATAGCCTTAGTATTTTGGATAGCAGTAGGACGCATCGTGGGTGGATCGGAATAAAATCCTTCCGCTCCTTACCAAACGGCCTGATGTTCTGAATGTCATCATTGGTATTAAGCATGGTGTCAGCCAGAAATGCCCTATCCCGTACAGTCATTTCCGTTAACTTATTTAGTTTATATAGGACCCACTTAGTTATTGAGCCGCTTTGTAAGCATTCAAGGGTTAGTTATATGTTTTGACTTGCCGAAGGTGTTTGGCCGAGCAGTTTTAAGTGATTTTGGCTCTGCCGTACAAGGAGATGAGAAGAGGAATCATGATGCACAGCCAAATGTTTATAGATCGCCGGAAGTGATGCTGAAGACTGATTGGAGCTACCCGGTTGACATATGGAATGTTGGTGTTATGGTATGCTTTGCCTGTTCATTGTTCACTCTCAATATTATATATTCACCACTCGGGAATAATAGGTGTGGGATTTGTTGGAGGGGAGCCACCTTTTCTATGGAAATGACGCTGATGGCAAAGGGTATTCGACCCGGGCGCATCTTGCAGAAGTGATGGGTATTCTAGGGCCACCTCCTTTAGATATGCTCCAATGTGGAAAACGAAGCCATGAATTCTTCACCACTGATGGTAAGTATCCTTTCTCGCTCAATGCAGTTTGCAAAGGCTTACAAAGGCAATCTTACAGGGAGATGGAAGCAAGACATAGAGATTCCGACAGGAGACAGTTTGGAGATGTCGGAAAACTTCCTCGAGGGAAGAAATAAGGAGATGTTTATAGCATTCATGAGAGGGATGCTTCAGTGGCGGCCTGAAGATAGGAAGACAGCGAAGGATCTACTCCAGGATCCGTGGCTGAATGATTAGTCGGAGTAGCTTGAGTGTTGATTGCTTTATTATCATCCCAAAATGCACTCCGCTAAATGTCACCTGTCACTCTGATATGTACAATGCTTGGCATATGCTGAGACAACATACGTCCTAGAAGCGACTGGCGTGCCCCCAGTTTCCAATGAAATAAAAGCACGGGTACTACATTATCTAGTCTGATCTTCTGCTGAGTTCTCACCGTGTACTTTCAGATAGTAGGGTTCATCGGTCAAACTCAACGAGGGCTTTAAGTAGCTGGCACCTCCGTCCTTTACATTGTCCTTAGATATCGCTCACGTATGATAATTTACCAATCTGAGCTCCCTAGTTGATTTTCATACTAGAAAACTATTGGAATATAAATCAGCGTTTCTCTAAACTTTTTTCAGAGCAGCTTTCAGTCAACCCGACTGATTTACAGCATAGTAAACAAATCCTTGCGTTGTTATATCCCCGTTATCCACAAGCGATTTGATCTGCTCCAACTTCTCCAGGGCCTTTTGGTACTTATCTAACTCCATTACTTTCCGCTCTGCAGACACCTCAAGCTTAGACGGGCTGTAAAATTCCTTCTCGCGCCTCGCCCACTCAGTCTCCCCTATATGTTGACGTAGCTGGGTGAACGGAAAGCTGTGATTATCATTGAAGCCGGATGGGATGAGCATATGCGGCCACATAATCCCAAAGTCCTGGGACTACTTAATAAGACTCGAGAGTTCTCTTTCTTGATACTCTGGTATTTCTGCTTCTTCCTCCAGCAGGATATGCATGAAAATCTCTAGGTACCTGAAGTACCTAACATCGATCTTGGGTGGTTTGTCGTCATCGCCGTAGTCCTAGGTGCTGTTTACGGGCCTATCTTGGGGAAGTCACTATGGTGACGAACCAAAAAGCTGGGTAGGTCCCATATATGACCAGTCGAAGGCCACTACTCTAACAATAGCGAGATCGCCCTTGCTACGGACATTTTCTCTATTGAAAGTTGATACTCATTGGCAGAGATGGCCTGTTCTATAGGTCTAATTTACCTTGTCACCCCAGAGCTAGCCCTGCACCTTCTAGAAAATATCAATAAGCGCGTTGATATCCATAAAATCAACCAAGGCGGTTGGAAGGTGATGAAGGAAGACAAGGACTACTCGCGGCCTATACACCGCTAGTGCGCCATAGTAAAATTTAGCCACCTAGCTCACCGTGTCATCTTAAAGATCTAATTTCACACTTGCATATATATCCCCAGTGTCATAGCATACCACGCGAGACATGCAAGCTTGACTGGCAGAGATGCAATTCTTTTCGCTTCCTCTCTTTCTCGGTCTAAAATTTGCCCTATGCGGGTGCTTTAGGATCGTACACCGGTAGTAATGATTATACAGGAGACAGAAGGCAGGTGGAAATTAAATCTTCGGCGTCTTCGGTGTTTGATATGGGTCGAAGTGCGGCACATTTTCTCCGTAGTCCCCCACTTCCGCTGCGGACTCCGATTGCGCCCCCTCAATCCAGAGCTATATAACGCCCAGATATGTCCACTTAAAACAGCTTCCATTTCTTCCATTTAATTTTATTTTTACTCTGCTTGTCATGACCCAAGGAACTCTCGCACCGGTCCCAGCTAGTGACGAATACTATGACCTTGGCTCGTTTGGTCACCCCATCACCACCACCAACACTGACGCCCAGATTTGGTTTAATCGTGGTCTGATATGGGTGTATTCCTTCAACCACATGGAAGGGGCCTACTGCTTCGAGCAGGCTATTGCCCATGATCCTGCGTGCGCTATGGCCCATTGGGGCTTAGCTTATGCGGTTGGCCCGAACTACAACAAGCCATGGGAGAAGTTCGACCAAGGAGATCTTCACACATGTGTGCAACGAGGATACGATGCCTCGCAAAAAGCAAAGAAATATGCAGCAAATGCAACTCCACTTGAAGAAGCTCTAATCGACGCGATCCAGTTTAGATTCCCGACCAACCAGCCTGCGACAGACTACCACACCTTGAATAAGGGCTACGCCGCAGCTATGAAACCAGTATATGACAAATTCGGAGCTGACTTGGATGTTGCCACCCTTTATGCCGATGCCTTGATGAATATGACCCCATGGGCTCTATGGGATCTGTTCACTGGCAAGGCAAACCCCAAGGCCCCCACCATGGAGGTGAAAGCAGTGCTCGAAAAGGCGCTTGCACAGGAAGAGGATGGTGCATATCTCAACCCCGGGCTTCTTCATTTATATATTCACTTCATCGAAATGTCGCCCACTCCTGAGCTTGGTATCAACGCTGCGGATCATCTACGCGACCTCGTTCCCGACGCTGGTCACATCCACCACATGCCCACCCATTTGGATATTCTCATCGGCGATTGGCGGCGCTCCATCGCTTCAAACCTCAAATCAACACTCGCTGATGACAAGTACTTCCGGAAATCAGGTGCCAACAACTTCTATACTTTCTATCGGCTGCACGACTACCACTCCTTGATCTACGCAGCAATGTTTGCCGGTAAATCCAAGGTTGCCCTTGAGGCAGTCACTCGTATGGAATCTACCGTGCCTGAAGAAGTCCTTCGAATTCAGTCCCCACCTATGGCTGACTGGCTAGAGCAGTTCATGCCTATTCGCTTACATGTGATGGTACGCTTCGGCATGTGGGAAGAGCTGAAGGTTAAAGAGCTACCCAGTGACCAATCGCTATATGCAGGCACCACTGCTACCACCCACTATGCCAGAGGCATCGCATTCGCGGCCACAGGGGACGTGGAGTCAGCCAAAAAGGAACAGGAGCTCTTCCACCAAGCGTGGGATCGGGTTCCCGTCACTCGTCGCGCATACAATGGCAAAATTGTTGACGTGCTCAAAGTGGCCGGAGCAATGTTAGAAGGAGAAATCGAATACCGTTGCGCCAACTACGATAGGGCCTTCGAGGCTCTCCGCCGTGCAATTGAATATGAGGACAAATTGCCATACAGTGAGCCCTGGTCATGGATGCAACCTGTTCGCCATGCGTATGCTGCATTGTTGATGGAGCAGGGCCACTTGGAAGAAGCAGCAAAGACATATCGCGCAGATTTGGGTATGGATACCTCGATCATCCGACCGCGTCGTCATCCGAACAATGTCTGGTCGCTGAAGGGATATCATGAGTGTCTAGTTCGTTTGGGGAAAATGGACGAAGCAGCTGTCATCGAGCAGTCGGCTAAACTAGCTCTTGCTGTAGCCGATGTCCCGATAATGGCATCGTGCTTCTGCCGCTTGGATAATTCCCAGTCACTACAGCTGCTCGATCAATATTCTTCAAATGGAAAATGTTGCTAAATGTTGGCCATTCTATGTTGCGGTTTCAACAACCAGGAGTGCAGGCGACGAAGTATTCCACGCGGGACATAACTTTCTCTTTGGATACTGCGTCATATATGAACAAGAGTAGTCGGCCGCTTATGCGGCCTTACTATATCTTTTTGGTGGTCTTTTTGGTGGTCTTTTCAGATATTCCTTTTGGATGTCTTTTTTAAGCATACATAACGGCGGTAAAAAGGGATATTCTATATAAAAAAAGACTCTTCTATGTATAATATTTGGTCTGTTGAGTGGTCTTAAGCCATATATAATGCCTTAGACATTAAACCACCGGGCATATTTGCTGGAATCAACTCTCTCCCTCCTCTCTTTCCGGTCCCTACATAGTAGAGTCTTCTTGGCAGACCTTTCTCTATAGACTTTATATAGCGGATATCGCATATCATTCCGGGGAGGTCACAGAAAAAGCGACGAATTAGGGGAAGAATAATTTACTGTAAGGGAAACCCGTAGTGGCAAACTGGCCCTTACCAATCGCTGCAGTTACCATCAATCTCACTTATTGCGGCTGTCCTGAGAAATTCGTCTTCTCCGAGTTCAGGCTTTTTTGCGCAACGCCATGATTACTCTCATTTGCTCTAAGCTAAGATACGTCGATGTTTTCAGGTGAATTATAATTATGCACGCCACTGGTCGCGGGTGACACCAGCTGAATGATCTCTGTTCTGCATCATGGGCACCTGCATAATCATCACAGAAAGATCGACTATTACTTCGTCCGAATACGATATTCCAATATGAACAACCCCTTAGGTTGATTATGACTAAATCCTGGTCCATTGAGCGGAACTACGCGTTGGCCTTTGTATATAATATCTATCCCTCGCAATTGTGGAGTTGGAATCACGACCATTTCCATTCAACAATTCCCGCGGATTCAATTCATCATTTCAACTTTCAAGATGGAATGTAAGCCAGCTATCACGACAGTCTCTCTTGGGTCATGCAGCTTTCACAGCATTACCGACAAGATTGACGAAGCCGCACGAAATGGATTCACGGCCATCGAACTTTTCATCGATGACCTTGAGGCCCTTGCCAGAGACCTCAGCCCTGTACCTGCCACTTTGGTCCCTTCTCGCGACTCTGTATTAGCTGCTGCCCATAAGATTCGCCAGCAGTGTGACACGTTAGAAGTTGTGATTCTCAATCTCCAACCCCTGCGCTTCTATGAGGGTCTGGTTGATCGGAAAAGACGGAACCAAATCCTAGATGAGGTGCTTCCCATATGGATGGATGCGCTGAAAATTCTCGGCGCAGACACTATTCTAGTCCCCTCGAACTTCCTCCCCGAGGACCCTGAGACTGGACTTCCTCAGACAGTCGGCGACTTGGATATAATTGTCGAAGATCTCCGTGAACTGGCTACGCGAGGCGCCCGACACGAACACTCCATCAAATTTGCTTACGAGGCACTTGCTTGGGGCACGCATGTCAACACCTGGGAAAAGTCTTGGGAAATCGTTCAGGCAGTCAATCGACCCAATTTCGGCCTTGCCCTGGATACGTTCAACATTGCCGGCGCCATCTACGCCGATCCAACCGCAGAGGATGGTCTCGTTGCGGACACGGCTGAGGCCGACCTATCCGCCTCACTGGGCCGTATGGCCTCTACTCTGGATATCAGCAAGCTGTTTATCGTCCAGATAGCCGACGGTGAGCGTCTCAGCCAGCCACTCCTCACGGGCCACCCTTTCTATGTTGCCGGTCAGCCCAGTCGATTGAGCTGGTCTCGAAACTGTCGGCTGTTCCTTTGTGAGAACGACCGTGGTGGTTACTTGCCTGTCCTCGGCATACTGAAGGCTATCCTCGATCTCGGCTGGACCGGATACCTTGCGTATGAGGTCTTCTCGCGTTCGTTGGCAGATGCTGATCACCGGACACCGGCGCTACATGCAGAGAGGGGAAGGAGATCTTGGCAGCAGCTTTGTAAGATTGCACAGACCCAACTGAATCAGTCTGAAGCTTCCGGTCGCAGCGGATTCAAATTACGTGGAATGGAATTGGTAGGGAGTGTGGTGCACGAGGTTGAGAGAGGAGTGGTTCAAGGACCTCGTATGGCAGCATTGTGATATACAAAAGTTTTACATCTAAGTATGAATAAACACAGGCAGTTTGGTTTTTGGAAACAAAAATATCTATAGTACTTCGTATTTTAGTAAAGTTCTTTATAATTCCTCCAAAGCCGAGCAATTGACCAATAGCAACTGAACTTCCCAATGATTGGTGAGAGCAGCACATGGCGCAGTCTACTAAAAGCAAGTATTTTGCTCAGCACTTGGTTACGCAGGCAGTGAGGATTCTTGGTCAGGCGCAAATGAACAAGTACGGTCAGGCTGCATTCCCCGCAGGCACATAAAATACATCGTAATGGCGCCACTTCTGCTATTGAAAGCCACACGCATATACTAGCCACGTTCAGCATGTTTGCGTTGGTCGATTATGGCTGGCTGAGAGGTGATATTATATTCTTCGTGCATGCAAGTGGTGCGATGGCCAATAAAATAGGGCTGAGTTGACAGCTGGAAACTAAGGAAGTTAATCTGGAACCTTGTCACATTACGAAGAAAAGAGCCGAGTGATGCCCGTGTGATGATCACAGAATAACAGATCATGCGGGGGGATATTTATTAGGACATCATATACTCAGCTGTGATCGATGCACTGTTGCACTATGAGATAAACTCAGCTCGCCTCTACATGATTGAGTTGCCCAATAAGTATTCTCTCTTCTTCTGCTTACGCGACTAAAAGAAAACAACCCCGTTGGGCCGGCGTTCATGCAGTCAAGTACGTTACAGAGATCTGCAAGGCACAGAGACCCGTCACTGTCACATTCATAATTTTGTGAGCATAACATAGCTGTCAAAAAAATGATCTGCACTGTACATCATGTACCTATCACTGAACACGATTATAGTCCTTCCTCGTGGTGCATGTCATATCTAATCTCAAACGTAGCCATGTCCATTTGATCACCTATTTCTAAAGAGTATACACGCATATACATAGATTATAGTACAAAGCACACTCAACATTCATTATCGCCGACCTTGGCCTTGTTCCCGTCGACTTGGGGGGCCGCCGACATAGAAAAGAACGACGACAGGCCAGCGACCAAACATAGTATTCCAAGGATTAGTGTCATAAATCCCCACCCTAATTCATATTTGATGAATCCACCAGCCATCGGACCAAGCGTTTGACCGGCGGCAAATGCCATGTTACAGAGTGCATAGCCCCGCGCCTGTCCGCTGCTCTTCTCTTCTGTAATCCCGTGAATGATTTCAATCTTCCGGACTGCATTGGAGACATCCCCCATGATGATCGCTTGCACTGTTGTAAGACATACTCCGACGACGAAGAGCAAGGAAATAAGGGCGATTTCGTGATGGACCGTGTTTGCTTGTGTCCATCGCAGTGAGACCATCGGCACTGCCATTAAGAAGAATCCAGTCACCACAACCGTTCGTGGCATGCAATGCCTTACAAAGTGGGCAATTAGAATACTGAGGACGGAAGGTATTGTCAATGGGAGGAATACAAGTCCTGCACCCAGACTAGACCAATGATACGTGTCGAGCACGTATAGTGGAAGCGTCTGCATCTCGGTCAGCTTTGCTGTTCCTTATAAGGTAAGAAATATAAAGTACCGTTTCGATGGCAGATAAAATGGAAGAAATGATAAGAACTGAAAATACCAGACCCAGCATGAGTGGATGCAAGAATTGGTAAAAGCTCAACGAAGTATCACCAGAGATACTGTTGCTGCTCTCCAAGAGAGGAGAATTCTCCTGGTGATGGCTTTTGGGTTCATCTGTTCCTCTTTTAATTAGCATCTAGGAGCAAGAAACAAAATGAGTCTGTGACGGACCTTCATCCTCCTGCACAATCAACATTCGCAGGATAATGTCAACCACAAGTAGTGCCATTGGGACTCCGAAAGCACCAACAGTGCCAAATTGGGAAAACCTGCTTTCTCAGACATTGTCATCAGTGGGATGAGGATGTTAGAAAACTTACAGGAAACCACCAGTCATGGGACCACAGAGCATCCCCCATGTCAGTGATGCTGACCCGCAAGCCATGTGTGAACCCAAATGTTCCGGACTGGATGTTTCCGCAATCATGCTCAACCCTAAAACCCCCACGACCGCGCCTGACAGACCCTGGAATACTCGAGCTACGAGAAGCACCCAAACATTAGTTGCAGACATAAACAGGGCGGTCGCAAGGGCCATGGCGACAAAACCAGAAACTAGTGGTGCTTTCCGAGTGCGATATTTGTCGCAAAAATATCCCACCGCAGCTGTACCTCAATAATTAGCATACGAACATGAAGTTGTTTGAGATCTACCCACGAGAGCCAAGTAAAAGAGCAACACCATAAGTCGCTAATAAAATAGACGACCATTTTTGAACTAGTAGCTATCAGTCAAACAGGGGTTTCCAAGTTATGCAAACTTAGATTGAAATTACCGTCCTTTGAAGCCATGTTGCCATGGCCCATCAATAGGAAAGGAAGAATAGGTACGATCTGGAGATGGGCGTGTTAGACTGATGTGGTATCTTGAGATGAGCAAGAAATACTTACAATGCCATAAACGAAAGTGTCCTACCGTAAGAGTGCAAGGTTAGTTGGTGAGAGGTGATTGCATCCAAGACCACCTACCGTGAATAGTGCAAAACATAGAGCCACTAGTATGAAGGTACTAGATGAACTCATTTTCTTAGTAAATATTTGTTGGACGCCCATGGTGAATGTTGAAAATTTGGTGCTCTGGTTAGTTGACAAATGCGAGACTCGGGTAAATAAACCAAAAGAGAGATGAGGGTTGCTCGAGTTATGAGGAGCTGAAAACAAGGATGTCTAGCTCAAAAAACCACAACCATACGAACAGATGAGGAACACGGCCGTACAGTTCCTTACAGGCGAAAATAAAAAGAAAAGAAAACCGTACATGTATTGTCGACCGCCATAGCTAGCTATTATGTACTCCATACGGAGTACTCCGTGTCGAATCCAGCTGGTTCTAATTTCAATATGCATGGTATATAAAACGAATCCATTGTGAATGTAAGAAGAAGCTGAACTCTTGTAATACCCCAATCCCTACTCTGTGCATTCACTGAAATTTATCTATTTATTTGACCGTGGAACACATATGGTCGATAATATACAGCTGGATCTCTAACTTCTTCACTCATTCATTATCCTTCATCATGGCGCCCTCAATCGCAACTCTTGAACATGAGTCTTCTATGATACCCATCAACGGCTTCAAGCTACCAAAGAAAGCTCCCCCTCCGATACCGCAAGGATTCGTTGATATTACTCTTACTCTATGCGAATCTCATATTCTTGAGGCTGCAAACTCCCAATACTTGGAATACTTGGATCCAGAATTGGCTCAGAGCCTTGACTTCGAGACCATTCTCGTTGTTTGCTGGTTACTTGTCGTGCATGGTTTCTCTCCTGTGAGAACCATGTACTTGGAGTTCCACCCTGGGTCAAATCTGTGCTACATAGATGGAAAATCCCAGGGGACCGATTCGTACGCTCTTGAATTTTCCCCGGACCGTCCATTGAAGGATCTTGTTCGGGATTTCTGTCGTATCAAGGCAGGCATCAGCACGACTGAGCCTGACGAAGGGTGGACTTCCGATGAAAGGAATCACCTCACCTCGGCTGTGCGCTATGCTGGTGACCGTCCAAATTTGGGATGGGCACCCCTGTCCGCTAATTCGAATGTACCGTTTACCTTATCCTCATTTATTTATCCCTAGTCTCGCAGTAGAAGCTGATTTTTTCTCGGTCTAGATCCCCAATTCAAAGCTGATGCTCAATGTGACAAATGACAATGGCAAGTTGCACGCGAGTCTTGCTTTCTCATCGCATGAAATGTCCAAAGAATTCGCAACAAGCTTGCTTCACTCATTGAACAAGGTCGTCGCATCCATATATCGTTCCCCCGAAACATCCTTGGGCAACCTTGATCTATGCTCGGATCTTGACCTCATTCTCGTGCAAAAGTTTACGAAGGAGGTTTCGGACTCTCACGAGGTCTTGTTACACGACATGGCATTGGAACATGCGCGACTCACCCCAGACGCTCCTGCAATCTGTTCATGGGATGGAGACTTCACCTATAGAGAGTTGGATGATCTCACAAGTCGTCTTGCTCTTTATTTGACCGATACCGGCGTTGTTCCCGAAACTTTCGTCCTCAGTTGTTTTGAAAAGTCCTCTTTTGCGATCATTGCTCGTCTGGCCATTTTGAAAGCCGGCGGGGCATATATATCTATCGACGCAAGCGACCCTCCCATCTTCCTCGACTCAGTTGTGAATCGCGTTAACGCTAAAATTATGCTGACATCACCTGAGTATGCATCGAAATATGCCTCACTTGTTCCGAATGTCATTTCAATTACAGGGAATATGCTAAAAGACCTTCCAACGGGACCGCTAGCTTCCACTGTCCAACCAGGAAATGCCTGTTTGGTTCTATTTACATCTGGGAGTACGGGTCAGCCTAAGGGAATCATCCAGGAACATCGGTCTTACGCCACCGCGATCCGCGATTACAACAAGGTCCTCGGTTTAGGCCGACACAGTCGTGTATGTCAGTTCGACGACTATGCATTTGACATCAGTAACAATGATTACCTCACAGCATTGACAGCCGGTGGCTGTTGTTGTGTCCCCACACCCGTAAAAACCATACCTGGTCTGATTGAAAATATCAACCTCACAAACGCCAATATGAGCTTCATGACTCCAACAATCGCCATCCAAATCAGCCACAAAGATGTTCCATCGCTAGAGCTGCTATGTGTTGGCGGTGAGCCGATGTCAAACGATCTACTCATGAAATGGGGTCCTCATGTGAAGCTTGTAAATCAGTACGGAATGGGTGAGGCCGCCACCTTCTGCGCATACAACGACAACCCCAAACCAGGCCACAATGCCGTGGTCGGGAAATCTGGTAGTGGCGCAATTTGGATTGCGAATCCTTCCTCGCCTGAGCGGCCAGTGCCGGTCGGTGCTGTTGGCGAGATCTTGATTGAAGGACCCCATCTCGCCCGTGGGTACTTGGATGACCTCTGTCAGAAACCAGATGTGGGCTTCCTCAATACAGTTCCTCGGTGGATTGCGGATCTTCATCCATCGCGAGCAACAAGCTCGCGCATCTATCGGTCTGGTGATCTGGGTCGGTATCGCCACGATGGAACGGTGGAGCACATGGGTCGAAAGGACACACTTCTTAAACTCAACGGTGGCCGTGTTGAGTCGACCGAAGTCGAGTACATCCTTCGGAAGACTCTTTCACCGGGCGATTTCACTGTCGTCGATATGCTCGGCGAGATTGACGGTACCGACGACCCCGTCCTAGTGGCATTTGTTTATCTCGTGGACAACCCAGCAAACCTTCTTCCAGAAATTTCAGATCATGAAATGTCCTTCCTTCCGATAACGAATCGTGTCCGGGTGAACAGTCTGGTCGAGGCGATGCAGAATGAAGTCTATACTACGCTGCCAAAACACATGATGCCGAGCTTGTTTCTCCTTGTCGACCGGATCCCCCGTACAAGGTCTAACAAGCTTGATCGCAGAAAGTTGCATCAAATCGCTCAGAAGTGGTATATGGGGAGCCTGAGTGTGTAAATATTAAAGTTTTCTTTTTTTTTTTTTTTTTTTTTACTGTTTGGGGTTTGTTTTTTTCTTATATTGGTCAGGTCCATGCGTAAGGGGAGTTTCAGCTAAAGCGTCGTGCTGGTGTCCACTCATTTATATTTCCACACATGGCTATGGTTTTCTCAAAACAAAACCGAGATCCTTGGAGCGTTCAGAAATTGAAATTGCACCTTTGCGTATCTATAGCATTTGCATTTATTTAGAATTTTTTGTCTAGCCTAAGAGCTGCCCCTATACGGAATAGGGGAACTAGGACTAAACATAGAGTTTGACTATTTAATCTATATTAATCTAACGATGTGGAGGTTAAACAAGGCTAGTCATGCACAAATTGACAAAATGAGATTAGAACCGAGTATGTACTAAATTGAGAACATTAGATATATAAGAAAAAGAATAAAAACCACAGGCTAAGTAAACAATAGACGGGAGATGGAAAATGCCTGAGATGCCAATCACACAAAAGCGCGCAACGCCATAATACCATAATAGGCCCACGAAAGTACTTTATACGAGACTTCATGGGCGTAAAACGATCGATAAAACACATGCGACAGAGCCGAGGAATGATATTAACACCGATGTTCTTTAAAATGATATTCAAATATACTGGACCGAAGTTTCACTTCGGTCAATGAATGTTGCATTTATTGAATGGAAACCATATTCCGAAGCGTATTCAGCACTAGGTTGGCTGCGGCTGCATCTGGACCTGGAAGGTATGCTGATGTTCATGCTGCGGTGCGGGTGGGGGAGGGGCCTGGCTCCGTTGCGGAATCGGAGGTCTGCGTTGTTGTCCTGGCATCCCGTGAACAGGGGACTCGGATGACATCGGGTGCTGCATCTGTTGTTGCATTGGAGACTGAAGATACGGCTGATGAGGGAGGGACCGAGGGGGGTGGACAGGAGAATGATGATGCATTTGCATGTGTGGCATAGAGAGCGGTTGGCCTGGCTGCTGGGCCAGAGATTGGCTATGCGGCAAGTGGGAACCAGGTTGTGAGGGCATATGTTGGTTCGGCTGCTGGTGCATGTGCTGGACTTGCGGCTGCCCAATATGTTGATTGGCCTGGGCCTGTGAAGCTTGATTCTGTTGGAACATGTGGAGATTTTGCTGTTGCGGCAGAGACTGGCCTTGAAGCATCTGCGGTGGTGTCGGACCTGGTCTTTTGTGCGCCTCTTCATCGATCGAAGAGGTTGTACGGTTCAATGCTGTCGCTGTATCTGTGCCCTCACCCAGTTGAGGGTTGACGTCTGCCTGTGTCTGATCTCCACTGGCCGCGGCAGCCGCGGCAGCGGCAGCAGCAGCGGCCACATCAGCCTTGCGAGGTCTCCCACGTGGTCGGCCCGTGCCAGGTGCCTTTGGTTTGGCCGAAGCTGGCTTCCTTGGCTTAGGCGGTGGTAAAGGTTGACCCGTTGCAGCTGCCCATGCAATTTGATCAGCCTTACGAGGACGTCCACGTTTTCGCTTCAGAGGAGTTCCGTCCGGTCCCAAAATAGGTGTCCCTTTTGTTGTGATGTTTGTAGAGCCTGGAGCAGTCGGCGTCATATTTGCAGTGAATGAGGCCTGTCCTGGTTGAGGTGCTCCCGGAATAGACTCGCCGTTTTGGGCAGCTTGTGCGGCCTGCGCAGCAAGCCTGGCCGCGACTTCCTCCTTCCTAGGCCGTCCCCGACGACGCTTCGCAGGCGGAGTGGCAATCTGGTCACCCCCAACTGCGGCCACGGCGGGCATCTGCCCTTGTCCGTTGGCCTGTGTGGGCACAGCGCTAGGAATGGCTGTGGGGGCATTTAGTTGAGTTTGAGCATGAGACTGGGCCTGGACAGGCTGGGCTTGAGCCGGAGCAGTCTTCTTAGGTTTCGCTTTCTTCTTCGGTGCGGGACTTGAGTCGTCAGCCTTCATGACAGGGCTGTCCGTGACCGAAGGGACAACTGGTGCAGCTGGCTGCGATGAAGGCACGGCAGCCGAATGCGGTCCCTGGTAATGCTGGAATTGAGCTTGGTGCGGAGATGGCTGGAATTGCGTCTGTTGCTGAGGGAACTGCGTCTGGTGTGGGGCGTAC